ACCACGCCGTCCTCGTCCTCCAGCCCGTCGATGACCTCACAGCGGTAGTGCCCCGAGTCCTCCAGCCGCAAGTCCCGGATCTCCAGCGACACGTCCCGCTCCCCCTCGGGCCGCAGGTGCACGCGGCCCCGGTAGTCCCCGAAGGAACGGTGCCTCGGCCCGACGGCCACCAGCACGTCCTGCTCCGGGGCCCCGTTCTCCGACAGCTTCCACCACTTGATGCGCACGGGCCTGTGGGAGGCCAGGGCCGGCTCGTAGTGGTACCGGCAGGGCAGGGTCACGTTGGCCCCCCGGTGGGACAGGAGGGCGTCCTCGGGCGTCTCCACCACCAGCGTCACGCCCTTGAAGAGGCCTGGGGGAGAGGTGGGTGGGCGCAGAGGGGGACCTGCTGCAGATCATCTGTACCCCCACAAGGGCCACCCCACCCTCATCCCAGCTCCCGCCGACCCTCCTTACCCCCACCCCCATGACACATGGCGAGGATAGCCACAGTGCTGCACCCCTACCCCTAGCCACTGTGGCTTTGCAGGCACATGAGTGATCCAGGCCAAACTGCCAACCCGTGGAATCACAAACAAAATAAGCATCTTAAGCCCCTAAGTTTGTGATGATTCAGAAGTTTCCATAAACCTCATGCAAGTAGTGCTTGGGCAGCACAATAAATTCCAGAGAAAAGGGGTGTGTAGGGTAAGGAATGGCTCCCCAAAATATCCAGGCCCTAATCCCCAAGTGTGGCCTTATACGGCAACATGAACTGTGCAAATTGATTCCATGAAGGATCTTCAGAAAGGGGGTGTGTTTAGACTGGATTTTCCAGACGAGTCCTAACTGCAATTATAAGTGCTGTATCTTTTTTTTTTTAATGTATTTTTATGGCTTTCATAGAGGAAGGGAGAGGGATAGAGAAACATCAATGATCAGAGAGAATTGCCAATTGGCTGCCTCCTGCAGGCCCCCTCCTGGGGATCGAGCCCGCAACCCAGGCTTGTGCCCCTGACCGGGAATCGAACCCTGACCTCCTGGTTCATAGGTTGATACCCAACCACGGAGCCATGCAGTTGGACGGAGAGGTCACCTTTTTTAAGCTGGATCTTGACAAACTGGCAGGACTTTGGGGAACTACAAAAAGCAGAAGAGACCGTCCTTAAGCGCATGTAAGGGGTTCTAAGCACAGAGTCACTGCACCGTCTCTTCTGCTGGTCTTAGAAACGAGGTTGGTGCCAAACCACCACAGCTCTGTGGTTGAGCCTTGACCTATGAACCAGGAGGCCACGGTTCGATTCCCAGTCAGGGCACATGCCCTGCTTGCAGGCTCGGTCCCCAGCAGGGGGCGTGCAGGAGGCAGCTGATCAATGATTCTCTCTCATCATTGATGTTTCTCTCTCTCTCCCTCTCCTTTCCTCTCTGACATCAATAAATATTTTTTTTTTAAAAGAAAGAAAGTCTTGCTCATCCTTCAGAGCAAAAATCTGGGCCCAGGACGACACCCACCTCCACTGAGGCCCGGGTCCCAGCCGTGGGCACTGTTGGAGTAGTAGAAGCCGTTGTAGAAGGGCAGGCCGGGGACGCAGGGCAGCGGGAGCAGCAGGACCAGGAACAGCAGGCGGCCCATGGTGGCGTGCATGGCGGCAGCGCCAGCGTGTCCTGGGCAAGGCTGTGGCCAGACAAATGGGAAAGAAGAGAAAGGCAAACCAGTGAAAGGCGCCCCTCTTCAGAGGGCCGGGACGCCTGGGTCCCAGCACCCACTCATTCTCCCACTTAATAGGTATTGGAGGAGCATCGTCCACGCACTGAGCACTGTTCTCAGAGCCTGGGTCTTATCGGTTGGGGGATTCTGGGCAGGTTTCCTGGTTTGTGAAACTCACCTGGGGCCCTAGCCGGTTTGGCTCGGTGGATAGAGCGTCGGCCTGCGGACCAGAGGGTCCGGGGTTCAGTTCCGGTCAAGGGCACATGCCTTGGTTGCTGGCTCCTCTCTAGCCCCGGCCCTGGTCGGGGTTCCCCTTCCTCTCTGTAAAAAATCAATAAAATATATTTTTAATAAAATAAATAAAAAATAAAAATCAATGGAAAAATATCCTTGGGTAAAGATTAACAACAAAAGAAGATTAAGGCAGAGCGCTAGAATACTGCCTGGCAGGGAGAAGTGCCCCAAAATATTGGTTATTATGACTACTGTGAACAGTTGACAAAGAGACATCTTACATTATCTCGGGGGCTCTTTCTCCTCCCTCCTTGCCTGGGAAAGAGAGCAGCCACCACCCCTGTCTTCTCTTTCCCGCTGGGGAAACTGAGGCCGGGGCTTTATCTTTGGGAAGCAGGTAGAGCTCAGGGAAAAAATTCAGGTCTCCCGACGGCCCAGCCTTGGCTTTTTCCCAGCACTGCTGGCCTGGGGACCCCTCCACACGCTAGGCTAGAATAACCTGAACCCCGACTTGGAAGGCAGATGGAGCCCACCAGAGTGCGAGTCCCCCAGACACCAGCAGGGGGCAGCATTGCCCTGCGGGTCTCCAGCATCCCGCCGCCGGGAGGAATCTGACTTGGGTGCCCCCCTCAATTCAGACAAGGCTTGCAAATGCCTTGGAGACCTGCGGCCCGGGAAAGTGGGGGCCGGGGGTGATTCCTACCAGCCTTCCCAGCCCTGAGGTCGGGCAGGGCCCGTGAGAGGAGCCGGGGCGCCTCTCCATCACCTCCCCATGCGGCAGGGAGCAGGGGCACGCCCGAGGGTCAGCGCTGGCCACCACACGGGGTCACAGGCTGGTGACGGAGCTGGGT